TGTGATGAGGAAAAGCAAATGCAAGGAAATTAGTTGTCTTTTACCTTATGGGATGAAAATGCCTAGGGATGATGTCAAATTAATTAGGTTCATCATCTCACAGCAAAGGCCATTCAGCAGCTTGTATGATCAAGGATCAAATTACTCCTTGCTAGAAAAAGTAGTATTATTATGGGTAATGTGTGGGTCATCACAGCAGGTGTGGAGCTTTTTTTTGGGAAAGGGATGATTCTTGGCATAGCTGGATTCCTGGATGCTGGATTTCTGACTAGATTCAGCAACCTGAATTTTTTTTTTAAAGATTCACTCAGCTTCCAGGGCAGAAGTGGATGTGATTTTAGATCCCAGCAGCTATGAAAATTTACATGGAATTTCTTTCTCCACTCTGCACTCCAGAATATGACTACCTGCACTGACCACATCTGAAATCTGCTTCCCAGCTTTCAGCCCCTCCCACTTGGAAGTCACACCAGTGTGTCCCCCCGAGCACATTGGAAGGCAGAAAGTTAATAAAATCCCACTAAAGGTAAGTCTGGGAGAGTATTTTTAATCCAGAGCATCTCTCCTTTCTTTTCCCTACTTGTACACCAAATTCAGCAGTGGAGTGATGGGAATACTTTGTCATCACAAACATATATTATTTCTGTGATGTGTGTTAGTACACTGTAATGAAAATATGTTTTCCAAAGGCACAGTTGCTTTTTTCCCCTTTGCTGTCACTATAACACTCTTCACCAAGATAAAAGGTTTCCTTCCCAGCTACCTCAAAAAACAAAAAAAATAAAGTCTGAGTAATGGGAATGACAGAACTCGTGTAATTGTTCCTGCTTTGCATGCTTCCAGGCTGATTGCCTGAACTATGGCTGATCCCAGGAGGGTTTTTGCACTGAAACAGCAGTTTGGTTTTGGAGGACCTTTTTTGAGGAGCAGACACAAAGCCAGGTGAGTGGAAGCATTGCCACATGGCTGTGGTGGAATGAGGACAATTTAACCCTGCTGAGGATGAGGCTTGGTAGTTTCATGCCTTATAAATGGTCACTGCTGCTGCATTTGGGCGTATTTATGCGCAAAATTAAGTTGTTTTTTTTTTTTCTTTAGAGGTTAATCTATATACATCCTTCTATATCTATCTATCTATCTATCTATCTATCTATCTATCTATCTATCTATCTATCTCACCAAAGGAATTTCAGAGGCTGAGCAAACTCTTATCTCCCCCTTGTTTTCACACACATGTAACTCTCCTTTGGTCATTTCACCTTTTCATTATTTGAGAATATTTTTCTCTTAAAAATATCGAACCAGTACTTTTTGGATGGTGTGCACAGGTTGGAATACCCAGCCATTCCTGGGCCTGGCAGTGACAGACACTGTTGACTTGCAAACTGTCTTTGTCAGGCAGCTTGTACCAAAATGTTTGCAATTATGTGTGCCCAGGTAACAGGCTATTTTATGTATTTGCTTAGCAGGAATTTTTGCAGATGATCAGCTAATTCATTGGAGCATGATGTCTTATGTTGGCTTTTGGACTAGACCAAAACACAACATTTATATTTTCATATTAGGCCTTTCTGTCCCTGCACAGGAGAATGCATGGCCCTGAAATCACCCAGCAGCTACCATTGATGAATGATGGACAATAATGGTGGACTCTGCTTTCCAATCTCCAGGACATTCTCCTCAGCATGCTCAGAATTTGACAACACTGCTGGCATCTCTGGGAGAGGCAGCCCATGAGATGGACACAGGAGCAGCATGTTAGGGGTGTGATTATTGCTTGTGAAATGGAAGAAAATTCTCCATCTTCCTAATTGGCAGATGTATGGGCACATTTCTCATCAAAGCAGTTATTAAAATGTTCTATTTTCCCTTCAAAACCTGTGAGATAAAGCCATTAATGTAGAAATACCAGTTGTTCCCCGTGTAATGGAATTTAACTGAATGATGACCATTTACATGTAAGAGAGTCATGCTGAAACCCTCAGAACTGGAAGGATCTGCAGACTGTGGTCTCTTCAGTCTGCATTAACACCCTCAGAGTTGGTTTGTGTGAAAAAAACTCATCTTGGCAGGGTAAAATAAGCAGAGGAGATAACTTTTTGACACCCACCAGCCCCTAGAAAATTGCATCAGATAGAGGAAACACTAAAAGCAAGTTTTGTTCTCTTCTTCACTGAGAAAAGCCAAGAAATGTCCAGCACAGCTGCTCCCTTCTGTAGTCCCACAGGGAAAAGTTTCTGCTGGAGCTGCAGGCTCATCCTTTGGCCGGTGGGATGGACAATGCCCACATGGTGGATGTTGAGGATACAAATCCAGAAAGACAGCTTTGATAGCTGGAATCTCATAAAGAAGAACATGAATGTGCAGCATGAGGCAGTTCTGCCATTATGAATAGGTTTATAGGTGTGAATATTATTACCAGCCTTGGGTTAGGGCAGCCTGCATCTGTTAAATTCCCTTTGGAAATGAAAGGCAAGAGCCAGACACTTGGCTCAGGGTGTGCAATGTTTCCTCTCCCAGGAACTCAGAGCTTAGTAGGATCTGATCTTGTGTAGTTTAAGACATTAGACTAATTTCATTTAAAAAACACCATAATTGTTCTATTATTTTAAGAGTCTGTCTTTATATATTCATAGTTTGTATATTAAGCATCCTTGTAATAATATAATAAATATTATATAACATACAACATAATATATGATATAATATAATATAGATAATAGTATACTTTCATTTCTTATATAGTGTGCCAGAGAGCTGAATATAGAAGGGAGCAGACACTTGACTTTTACCTCAAATAGGGCACCCAATGCTTTTATTTCCCCAAGCAAATATTGCAGCATTGAACGCTCCATTAAAGCAGGGAGGGAGGGATATTTGATGAGGCCTCTCAAGAGAGTTTGGATGAGAGAAGGATTTCAGTATTAAATTTAATGCTGTCAGCAGTTTAAATTTATATAAAACTGAGTGCAATTAAATTGAGGATCTTCTGGAAAAACCTCAGCCAGCTCCAGCTCCTGCCAGGGTTGGGAAACGGCATTTCAGTGTCCAGGTGGACAGCAGTGTCCTTTCCAAGGACATTCCTGTGATCCTGTTCCCCATCCCAGCTGGCCCAAGCTGGGCTCTGCCCTTTGTGGCTCTCAGGGGCAGGTGAGGGCACGTTGTGGCCATTGCCCACAGCTGTGATTGCAGTTTATTGCTCCACCTGGAATTAGCCCTGCTGATCTGGCATGGCACTGAGCAGACTCTCAAGAGCAGCCTTTCCTTACCTTCAGCACTCCCTGGCTGAGCTTTGCCCTGTCCTGGCCTTGGGCCCACGTGGGCAGGGTGGGAGCTCGTGGTTTCAATGGCTTGGCTGTAAAATGTGCCTGAAGAAAAAGGAGAATGATTCTGGAGCTGCAGGATCATCCTTTGGCTGGTGGGATGGACAACATCCAACTGCACATGGTGGATGTTGAGGATACAAATCCAGAAAGACACGTAGCCACAGCTTTGATAGCAGGAATTACATAAGGAAGACCAAGGATGTAGTGAGCTGGGATGAGAGTTTGAAAGACATGGAAGAAAATGCTCAATAGCAGAAAGGTTTTAAGAAGAGGAGTTGAGAAACCTGAGTATCAAAGTACCAGAGATAATGGGTTTTGCTCCTTGTGGGTCAGAAAACACCTGTATTTAAAAAGGGACCCCAAATTTCCCTGGAACTGACCCTGAGCCAGTTCACATAAGGGAATGTGTAGAGGGTTCAGTTCTGGCACCCTTTTTGGTCCCAAAAACTCTGGATAAGGAGCATGGGTGGCTCTCCTCACATATTGTACAGAGATGGGTTCAAGGAATTTCAGGATGGTTTCCATCAGGACTGGGATCTGCCTGCTTGACTCCTGGCTTCTCCCTGTCAAAATGAGGGTCTGTGGGGAGAGAAGATCAGCAAGATTGAGACAGGAGTATGAACTTTCTCTTTGTACTGATTTGGATCTGCCCAGATGAGCCTGATGAGGGCAGGTTCTCCTTTCCCCTCAGCATCTTGTGGCTTGGGCATGGGTTCTCTCTTGTGGGGTCACAGATGGGCCACTGATGGGATGATAAAGAGCCAAATTTGGATATGGGAGTGGAGCTGTGTAATGGGTTATCACAGACATCTTAGTTTCATCTGATTTATTAGCTCTGCTAATTATCCCAATAAATCAGCGTTTGAATGGAACTTGGCATTGACACTAAGTATGAAGGACTGGCACTACTGTTGGGGAGCTAACAGGGAAGATCCAGCTGCAGATGTCAGGGAATGAATGAGACTTGACAAAATGCAATCACAACTGGGAGACAGAAAAGCAATATGACATACTCTGAGAGGATGGAGCTCCCTGTGTGTTACTACTTTGTAGTCATCACATTGCCAAGAGCATCTTCAGCATGAGCAACAACTGCAGGTGATTCCTGTGGGCAAGGAGCAAAGGTGACACACACACTGCTGGCTCAGTGCTTTTGTACATTCTGTGAAATTTGCTGCAATAAAAACCACATGGAAATCACACAGAACAAAGGAAGCAAAGGCAGCAGTGAAGCTCCTGTGCTGCAGACTGGGGTAAGCAGGTTGCAGGTGCAGGTTACAGTGCTGAAATCTTGGTGTTCTTCAGAAACAGTGCAGAATCCTTTTTGGACTGAATGCAAGGTTTCCTTCCCCACATTTCCAAACAAACAGTAATCTAATGACTGGGAGTAAAAAATGACATCACCTGAGCACATCCAGCAAGCTACTGAAACAAAACCATTTTGGTGACAGCCTGAGCAGGACCCTGCAGACAGCATCAAACAAGTGAAAATGTGAAGCAGCCCGTGCTCTAACAACAGCCAGGTTTACACTGCTGCTGGCTTTGCTGGCTCACTCCAGCTCTCATGCTCCACCCTTCTGGGTTTGCCTTTTTTTTTTTTTCAGCCTTTGCAATCTGACAGAGGCGGGTGAAAGCAAGTTGAGGGAAAGGACATTCCCCTGAAGAGCAGCTGGAGAGCAGTCCTCCAGCCTGTCTGTGCTAAGCAGAGGACAGCCACGAACCTTCCAGGCTTTAGCCTAGAACCACCCCCAGGGCCCGGAGGCACACTGGCACTAGAACTGATTTTCCAGGTAAGCCTTTTTCTTAACCCCCGGATCTTGATAGCTGAGTGCTCTCTAAGCAGGAAGTGAAATCTGCACAGCAGAAATGGTGTAAGGGCAGAGCAGGGAGCTCAGCTGCTCGGTGTTGTAGATATGCTGCTTTATTTATTTATACTCAGTTGTGAGCCTCAAGCTACTCGGGCATTTGTGCCATCTGCCTCATCTCAGCAACCCCCATGAGCTGTAAACACCCTCAAGAGATGGACAGACAGACAAACCCACACCAACATTTTCCCTGTGAGTAAAAAAGTTACTGCACATGTTCTGCTTGCTGTGGCGGAGGCAAAGGAAGGGAGAAAAAGGGAAAAACTGGTTTAACTGGGACGCTGATGTTTAAAATTCACACAACAAGAACTAAGCTTGTGCCAAGTTCTCAGAAATGAATGGAACTGTAGTTCTGGGAAAATCCTGGGAACAGCCAAAAGCTGAACAAAGAGAACCTCCTGACTCTGATGCTCTTAACCCCTTTGTGGATCACTCAGGCCTGCTCCGATGTTGAGACACAGTGGTGGCCATGATCAATAGTCAGAGTTCTGTAAAGCCTCTATCCTAAAGGTTATGTGGGGACCCAAACCGTGGCAACCCCTGCTTCTGACAGGATATTACACCAAATGGGAATTTTTCATTGTCTTTGTTTTGTTTATGTACTGAAAATACCTTTCCAAAATTCCCATACAATTTTGGATTTGCCATTTTTCATCAGATTGGGAATATAATCCTGTTGAACAATTGGATATTTTAATTTTACTTTGGGAGTTGCATACAGGAACTTGAGAGCATTTTTGGACCTCTTGCATCAATAATGGGAACAACATTGCTCCATATTTACAGATGTCTGAAATTTAGCAGTGCCTGGGGAGAAATAACAAAAGGACTTGGCTCCATCAAAATCCCACTCCTTCCATCAAGAGCTGGGAGGGCTCGAGCTGCTTTCTATCCCTGTGTTTGTGAAATAGCCTTGCACTGAGCCCTCTGCCATCCCAGAGGAGGTCAATGTCTTCTCCCCCACCCACGGGCAGCCACCCATCAGTGGAAAGACTATGAACAGAAAGAGGAACTACATCAGAAAAAATGATCACAGAAAATGTGAGGTCTCTGAACCTGGTGATTTAGGCCCGAGCCTTGGTTTCCTCCTGTTGCTGGAGAAGGGCTGTGATTAGCAGGACTGGGGAGCTGAGCTGTGCTTTGGGGAGGCAGCTCACAGCAGATGAGCAAAAACCCTCCCACAGCCTTTTCTGCCCTAAAAAAGCCCTTCTGCACTCCAGGTCACATCTGTTACCACGGGCACAGAGAGTAGGAGCAGGTGAGACCAGCTCGTGCCTGGCTGCCTAAATAATGGATGAAACACCATGGCAGGACAGATTTGCTTCAGATTTGGTTGCAGAAGAGGCTCTGGATGCCACTGCAAGAGTGGGAGGGTTTGTTTTCTGCTTCTGCTTTGCTGAAACCACGAGCAAAGCAGTTCAGATCTGGGGAGTCTCAGTTCCTATAATTTCTAGCAGGGAAACATCGGGCAGGAATTCTGCTGAAATGTGCTTAGCACAGCTGGAGCCTCTCGTCACAGCTGTAAAAGAGGCAAATAAAAATAACATTTGTGCTCATCAGCAGTGTCCCATTGGTTTCTCTCAGCACTATTACTCAGCTGCCTTTGATACAGATATTAGTCAAATCCTGCTCCTCTTCTGAGCACCCTATTAAAAGGGATGAGGAAGAGCCTTCCACCACTTCTGACACAGCCTATTATTTTTTCCCACCCTTCTCTCAGAGGCAGCATGGACATCAAGGAGTATTTTGCCAGAATTTCTTACCAGGGCTCCCACAATAAGCCAGACCTGGCTACCATGTCAGATATATTCCAGCACCACATCCGAGCTGTCCCTTTTGAAAACCTCAGCATCCACTGTGGAGAAAGAATTGAGCTGGACCTGGAAGCAACCTACAACAAGATAGTGAGGAAGAAACGTGGGGGCTGGTGCATGGAAAACAACAACCTGCTGTCATGGGTCCTGAAAACTCTTGGCTACAACGTCACCCTTCTGGGAGCAAAAGTTTATGTCCCAGAGTTTGATGCCTATCCAGAAGAAATTGATCATCTGCTGCTACGAGTGGAGCTGGATGGCAAATCCTACATTGTGGATGGGGGATTTGGGATGGCCTACCAGCTGTGGCAGCCAATGGAGCTGATTGCAGGGACAGATCAGCCTCAGACTCCTGGGGTCTTTCGTTTTCAGGAGGAGAATGGGACCTGGTACCTGGAGAAAGTGAAAAGGAAGCAATGGGTTCTGAACCCAAGCACCTCGACTTCCCCAAATGTGGAAAATGAAGTTTGCCGTCGGATTTATCTCTTTACCCTTCAGCCACGAGACATTGAGGAGTTCAGGGGCTGCAATTCCCACCTGCAGACAGCACCTGACTCTCTCTTTGTGACAAAGTCCATCTGCAGCCTGCAGACTGCTGATGGCATCCGGGCACTGGTGGGGTGGAAACTCACAGAGATAAAATACAATTATAAGGACAATATGGATGTTGTGGAAATCAAAATCCTTGCAGATGAAGAAATAGAGAAAACACTAAAGGAGAAATTCAATGTAACACTAGACAAGAAATTTGTACCTGTCAATACGAGCAGGTTATCTCTGTTCTAACTCACTGCCTGAATTACAATTCAATTCAGGGGCATTACAGGCAATTCTTCCCTCTCTTTCTGACAAGCATCCAAAGGTTAATCTTTCTCCTTCCAACTACACCAGTGTAAGGCAGAACATACTAGCAAGAGTCTGGAAAACAAATAGATTTTCAACTATTCCTGAATTTCTTTTTAGGTTGGGTACAAATAATGCCTGCCAAACTCAATCAAATCATTACCCTTCTGTTTTGTGCTTAGCAGGAAGCAGACTCAGCCCATTCCCTACTCCTTTCATCTCTTAAAAGCTTTTCTGAACACACCCAGTGTAGCTGGGCAGAATGATGGAGCTGTATGTCTTGGTCTTTATTACCTGGTGCTGCCACCTTGGGAAAATGATACCTGCCTCTTAAATGAATACTATATTATTTTGGGAGTGTAATAGCCAAAACCACAAAGACATCCTGTGCTGAATTCCTCCAGTCAAGCCATAAGCCTGTTCTCTTTACTCTGACATCCCCAACAGCCTCTCACATGGTGCCCAGGCCATGCCACACCTGTGCAAAGTCACCATGTGACCACTTGAGGACAGGTTATTTATGACTCAGAACTGAGGATAAGAAATGTTATTGACAATTCTGTGTTGTTTCAGACTTTGCACAGTGAATGTTCTCTCAGTGACATAACCAAAGAGCAGCATATCTTTGAACTGAAAGCATCTCCTGAGCATTTTGTTTGCTTCCACTCCGCAGCAGACTGCTGGGAATACATGTTCCTCTCCTCAGACTCTACTCTGGGTGTTATTGCACTTTAATTATTACAGCAGAACCCAAACACATGCACAGAATTCTTTTTGTGAAACATATCTGTTCTACTGAGGATGTGTTTGCAGTGATACTAATTATATTGATATAAGGGGAAATGATGAATCTTAATCACATACCTAAGGGCTAAGATTTCTAGTAGCAGAAACGACTCAAATGTGACCCCTTTGCCCTTTGAGAAAATGCTTGATGTTCCTTTATGTACAAATCTTGGAAGCATTACAACTACGCACTTATAATTAAGCAAATTAATGAATTACAATTTTTTTAAATAAAAAAATCAAGCACTGTGAACTGGAATTATTCTGATTTTCCCCCCAAGTATCCCCATAGTAAAAAATAAATGTCATTAATCACTGAAGTTGTCCTGATTATTTGTAAGTGCTAATATTTTCCATCTAAGGCTTCTAAAAAGACAATAACTCACTAAACCTTTTTCACTTGTTATGCAGCACATACAGCTTTCTAGAACCAGCAGTTCAGATTTAATAAAAGCTGCTTTTCTGCATCTTCAAAACCTATTTCTTAGAGACACAGCAAGCTCTTGAAATCCCTGTCTTCCCAGAGTCATATTGACTTACATGTGCTTGGCTGCAGGAGTAAAATAGGTCCTTATAGCTCATGAGGCTCTCCCATCCTATGAGAAAGTGCAATGAGGTTGTAAAAGGAGAGGTTTCTTATGGTGTGGACCAGCAGCTTGCAACACCAATGATCAGAAGCAATTGTCCCAGGATGTGGCTTGTTTATAACCTGTGTTTTTCTGTGGCCCCCAAATTAGTGGGAGAGCTAAAGGAGCTAAACTCAGTGGGTCAGCAGGGACAAAGCACTGGGATGAGGAGAAAGTCCAGGCAGGTCTTGTGAAGTTGTGGAGGAGGAGAAGATCCACACAGAGCCAAGAATCTCCATCCTTTGTGGGAACAAACATAGGAAACACCTCAAAAGGGCTGTGCCCACTCCTCTCTCCCTGTGTCAGGGTGTTTCCTGCACTTTGTGCTGGTCCGTAGGCTCAGGGGAATGAGTCCAGAGCTATAAAATCACCTTTAAATTCAGAAGTAAGGAGTTATGTCCATTGCCCCCGAGATGCAGCTGTGGAGGGCAGGATCAGGGAAAGGCTCTTTTCTTTCTGCTGACTCATCTGGAGCAAGTGCACAGCTCAGAGCTCCTGCCCCTGCTCACCACAGAGGCACAGTGCACTGCTGAGCATTACCGTGGAACTTGCTGTTGGAAGGACAAAAAAGAACAGGAAAAAAAATTTTCTCTTTTCAGATTGCATTAGTTTGTTTCTTTCCTTATCACTAACTTTGGAGGCAAATACTTAAAGGCACAGCAAGTTCAGGGAGCTCAGATTTCTCTGGGGGCAGCATCTTCTCTTTCGAAGGACAGGGCTTCTCTTTGAACTCAAGGGAATTTAGGTAACTTGTGTGACTTGGCAAATTGGCAAATCTGACCTTGTTGCTTGGCGGGGCTGGTGTCAGCCACGAGGAATAGCTCAGTGTGCGGAGTTCAACAGCTGCCATCCCCACCAATAAATCAGTGACTTCCTGTCCTGGATCACTCTCTGTCTATCATAAGTCACTTCCCACAGGGATCCAGACACATCAGTGTCAACAATATAAAATCTGCATCATTTTTGCACAAGTTCTTTGCTGCTTTAGTGTGGGAACATCTACCAAGGTGCCCCAGACTCTGAAGCCCCAGGGTGACCTGCAGGGTTGAGGATGGGTTTATAGGTTAAAACCACTTACAGAAGTTGCTGATGATTCCCATGATTTGCACTCCTGGAGGGTTCAGCTGCCATTCAGTGATGTGGAAGGTTAACATCTCCTCAATATTATAAACAGTTTGGGGACTGGCTCATTTCCAGGCTCTCTGTGCAGCACCTAACACAACAAATTGCTTGACAGGGCTTTCCACACATATGCCAATACAAATAAAGCAATAAAACCATCAGAATATAAACAACTATTAAAGAAGAAACTCTCTGCCCTCTTTGGTGCTGGAGGATAAGGCTGTCCCTGGCAGGCACTAAAGGCTGCCTGGACCTTTAAGAGCTGCAGTTGCCAGTGCAGCTCTTCCTGGGACCTTTGGAACAGCCCAGGGTGGAAAGCCTGAGCTGACTGCCTGCGAGGTAAGCTCTGCACGCCTGATCTTTCACTTCATCCTGCAGCTTTGGGTCAGCCCTGCTGGGAAAGCCCACCCTGTGAGTCTGCACACCCTGTGCCCAGCACTGCAGGTGTATTAGCAAAGCACAAACTACAGGAACCCCAGGGCTGATGGTGAGTGAACATTGCAAGGGCATTTCCCAAGTGCAACATCGAGTGTTTGAGAGTGAAACTAACCCTTTATTTTGAGCCAGAGTGTATGAAAAATGCAGCTATTGACTCACAGTGTAACTTGGAATCAAACAAATAGTGTAGCCATATGCAAGAGGATCCAGCCTTAGAAGTGCCTCCTTATTCTCAGTAGAGAACTGATCCTAATATTCAGCCTAATTACAAAAGGACCCAGTGATCCCAAGGGACGTGTGCAGACAGGCAGAACTAACATCTGAATCTCACTGCCCTCAAAGATGCAGGAATGCTGAGCAAAGCTCAGCTGCTGCAGGGGCAGAAGCAAACAGGGCTGAGATCTGGACTGAGGCTCAGGATATTTGGCAACTCAGTTTTGGAATGCAAATTGTCCCCTGGGAGAGGGCTTGCTCACTGCTGCAGCCTCATGGCTCACACAGCAGGAATGGCTGTGCCAAGGAAAATCTGCCTCCAGGAAAGCGAGGGAGTAAACACTGATTTATGTGGATGCTCCCTAATGTCAATGATGTTGTAGTGCAGCTTTATTATACTTAAACCTCTTTAAGTATTCATTGAGATCAGAGCGTGTGTTGTCAGGCACCACAAGGCTGTCTCTGAAGCAGATTTTAAATTGATGAGGCCAGAGAAGGGGCAGCTGGGGAAACTGAGGCACAGGCAGGGAATTTCCCAATATATTTTCCCCAATCCTCATTGGCAGCACCCCATGGGGTGGATGAAAGGAGCTGGTTTTATTCTTTGCTTTCCCCATACAATGGGCACACCCAGACCCAGGAGATGGGTTACAGGGGGGCATCAGGCCTTCTGCTGCTGACCCAGGGCAGGGACTGATCTGGTTTCGCTTGAAGGCAAATTCCAAGTGTGTCAGACCCACCAGGCTGATGCCTGGACTTCTCTGAACTCCTGCCGGTCACAGAGGTTCAGCTCCATACCCTCATGGGGTAAAGATGTTTCTATTTTCCTATGTAAAATAGCTGAAAGTGGGAGTAGAAAGAAAAATGAGGCAGAGGACCATAGGATGAGCCTGCCAGTGAACACGTGTGCTGTGTGTTGGAAGGGAAATGGCTTTCTGCAAGTGTTACCAAGGAGATCCTGCCAGAGATGAGGCCCTTGTCCTAAAAAAGGGTTGGAAAAAAAATCATAAAATGCAGTATCAAAGAGACATTACTGTTTTTTCATGTAGACTCTTTGGTTCCTTTTGAAGTGATAATGTTTATTTCTTATTCTCTTACAATGATCTTCTATTCTATCAGATTTTCCTGTGGGTTTGCATTATCTAGTCTGAATGTTGGTACTAGTGGAGATCAGGAATAATACAACCAAGTCATGTGAGTTGTACTGCTGGCATCAAGATTGGGGTTAAAGTCTAGAGATTAGGTCATTGGATGTGCTGATCTGCTCAGGTGGGGGCACTTCCACCCATGGATTTGAGGTAGGATTTTCACAAGCTTCTGGCATGGACATGGGGTCAAACTGCTGGACCAAAGCTGAGAAGAGTCAGTGGAAGGGAGTTTGTCCCATCTCATCCACATCAAAGGATTTTTGGAAAATCCTCCCAGGGAATATTCAACCAGTTGAAGGAAGAAAGAAGTCCTCAGACTTTCCGGAAATTAACACAGCCCTTAACAGATTGTGAATTGTTCTGAACAACAAATATCCTTGCATGGAAAAAAGCCAAATTAAATCTAAACTAAGGGCAAAAGAAATCCTTGCAGAGAGATGATGAATCACTGAATTAGAAGCCTTACAGGGAACCTTTTGTCTCTTGGCCACACAACCAGTGCCAATGAGAGTGTCTTTCTGCTAATGAAAGAGGATCAGAGATACAGACAGAAAAACCACAAAATATTCCCAATAATTTGATCTGAAACTAAAGCCTTTAGTTTGTGAAAGATGGTCAAAGAAACAAAAATATTATGACTTGCCTTTCATGTACTTTTAGATCAATTCCTTTGATCCTTAGGTTAGAAAAATTGAAGTCCCTTTCTTTCACAGTCAAAGCCCTGTCTAAACTCCTCAGGGAAATTTAAGTGATTAAGAAAACAATGATCTACTTCACATGGAAACCTGTTTGAAATGGTGACACACTGAGATGTTAATCCCAGTTAACTGAATCCATGAATGCAAAACCTTCCAGTTAAATTACCTGTGGGATAAAGAAAGAATTGCTTACCTGGTACAGTAAAAGAAACGGCAAGATCTTGCTGTGACTTTTATGCTGCTATGGTGTGGTAGCTTTTCTGCAAACCTGTTGTGTCTTGATTTTTGAAAAATTTTGTTATGTGGGATCCTCCTCTGTGGCCAGAGATTCTGTTATGGCATGTGCTGTGTCTTCCCATGGGAAAAACATCCTCCTGGTTTGAAGGCAGCCCCTGGGAGAGGGAAAGCATTATTGCTACCTGCTCCTGTCCCTGTCTCTTTTTAAAGAAATACTTAAAATTCTTTTAAATCCTCAATAAAACAGCCCAGAGTACATTTGCAGGCTGGTTAACCTGTGCTACAGAAACAGGAGTGAACCCCTTGTCAGCTGCACAGCAGTAACTGGCTACTTTTCTGCTCACACAGGCAAAATGAACATTCAGGAATATTTTGGAAGAATATCTTACAACAAGCCCCATAAGGATGCAGACTTGCAAACCCTGACAGCCATCCTCCAGCACCACATCCAGACCATTCCTTTTGAGAACCTCAGCATGCACTGCGGGGAGCCCATCGAACTGGATTTGCAGGCTACTTACAATAAGATTGTGAGAAAGAAACGTGGTGGGTGGTGCCTGGAAACCAACCACCTCCTCTTCTGGGCCATGCAAGAGTTAGGGTATGACGTCTGTATTCTTGGTGCAAACAGCTATGAACCAGCAGAGAACGGATACACTGCTCAGCTAAACCATGTCCTGCTGAAGGTGGTGATCAAGGGACAGTCCTACATAGTAGACGCTGGGTTTGCTGGAGCCTACCAGATGTGGCAGCCGCTGATGCTGATTTCCGGGAAGGACCAGCCCCAGGCTCCTGGCATTTTCCGCTTCACGGAAGACAACGGCACCTGGTACTTAGAGAAAGTGAAAAGGAAGCATTATATTCCTGAGCACTGCAAGAATCACTTCCCTCATACTCCAGAACTGGGGAATATCCGAAAAATACATAAATTTACTCTCGAGCCACGGCATATAGATGACTTCCAGGAGCTAAATGCATACCTCCAAGTGTCTCCAGATAACCTCCTTCGGAAGAAGTCAATATGCACTCTCCAAACCACCAAGGGGGTCCTTGCCTTAGTTGGATGGACCCTCACTGACATGAAGTACAACTACACGGAGAACATGGATCTGGTGAACATCACAACCCTTACAGATGAAGAGGTTGAGAAGACACTGAAAGATAAATTCAATATAGTACTGGAGAACAAACTTGTACCAGTAAATGTTCGTGGTTTGCCACCTAATTTAGTGGATAAGATCTAAGTGTAACACTGTGCTAGATGGATCTTTAAATAGCCAAGAGGAAAATTCTAAAATTAACATTAATTACAATAATCTAATTTTTAACTCGAGGTAGTCACAATGCTTGGTAAATTCCAGTACACTGCTAATTAACTGCAGATATGGATTGCATATTTTTTATTAAACCTCTCCTGCTTTAGAAACCAAGACATCTTACTAGCTCTGTTGTGCTCATATGGAAGCTGTTTTTTGACTCCTTAACTTTTTGTTCACCTTCTCAAGAACTCATTTTATTGCAGATATATTTTGAGGCAAATGAGATGAAAATTATGCAAAAGGAGAGGTTGTGTTACCATTTTACAGAAAAGACATCTTACCTTTTTCTGCTATTATTTCCAAGCTTCTCAGTGACTTTTACAAATTATTCACTTCCCTTAACAGTCCTAAAGTTGAGCTGAATTAGGCTTTTAAATACTGTAGAAAACAAGAAAGGTAAAGACTTTCTCAAAACAAGCCACCATTAGGTGCTGATTAGCTTATGAAAAATTGAAAGACTTAAGTCCTGTTCCCTTTTCAGAAATTGACTTAAAGTAAGATATTTATCCAAAGGTACCTAAACCTCCCCAAAATCTGTCTAATTTCGAGTACCCACTTTTTCTGAGTCTGATTTATCTGTGTCTCTGAATTCAAAATAAAATTGGTAGAAGATGAGATGATTCAACAGTTCTTAAAAATCAGGCTTTTTGTATCAAAACTGGAAAAAAAGTTCAATCTTTGAAAAAAGATCAATCTTTGCAAAGTATAATTTAAACTTTCGGGACCATGCCTTCATGTGATGTCAAGAGGAGATGATGGTATTAAAGACAAAATCTTCATATTTATTACAAACAGTATTCTGCACAAAAGCTACCTTAAAACACAAAACAAACACAAACACAAAAGCTACCTTAAAAAGTGTGGATGCAAAAGAAAGCCCTGGGAAGTGAGGACGTGCCACCAGTGTGGTTTGACAGCAAGACATCCATAACACAGAAGCCTTTTCCCTGATGACACCTGTGGTACTGTAGAGGACGTGCCATGAAAAAGGGCGACAGAAGAACATCAGCCAAGAAAAAGACTTTGATTCTTGTTTTAGTCAACTTTGATTCTTGTTTTAGTCAACCACACAGAGCTACATGGCACCTGATGTGCCTAAAACTCAGGTGCTTCCCCAGGTGCAGTCTAATGAGCTCTTTGCCTTTCCCAGAGGCCTCTTCTGATATTCCACCTCCATCCAATGACAGGGACTCAGGCTTGATGGGGGAGAATTAAATAAACAGCACTGCAAGGCTGTGAGGCTGCAGGAGGCCAGGTTTTAGAGCAGAAATGCATTACTTCATGCAAATAAATATTTGCCATGGTATTCCTCAGGTGGGGAAGCTCCACAATAACACCTGCTACAGCTGAGGAGTTGAATGGCTTGGAACAGCTCCTGTATGGGCAAAGAAGGGTCATTTTGCATCCATGGAGCTCAGCCTGCAACACAGCCTGCAACACCTTGGCACCTCAGTGCACCCATCAGAGCACAGATGAACATCCTCCACTGCAAAGTGCTGGTTTGCAAAATAACAATATTGAATTACAAAAAGTTACACGCCATTTGCCACTGCCTACTGTAATTATTTTACATAGAAAACGAGTTCACTCTGGTCTTAACTAGGGGAAGGCATAAACATCTACTAATAGGAAGAAACAAAGTTTAATTTGCTCACGGATCAGCGAAGTCCAAAAATGTGAATTCTTTTTGAGTGGACTCTGCCCTTTCTTGGAATTTAAGATTCAGGAGCGAGGACCAGCAGAGCTTAGAAAGACAACCCTCACAATCTGTATCCACTCCTGGCTTCACTGACTGCTGCCCCTGTAATAAACCCCCCAGAAACTGAATACCTCAATAAATAAAAAGGGATCTCATAAGAGGTAAGTTTATTTTCTTAAAAAACCCCTCCAAAGAAAGATCCAAAAACCCTGGTTTCTTTATGATGTTAAAGGCCATGGACAATAACGTAAGCAACATTCTCTAGGAAAAATGTTCTAAAAATGTGTGGATATAGAGCTAAAATATCACCTGCTAAACAGGGGCTGTTGAAGAGGGCAAAATAGTGATGTGCAATTTCAATTCTTCTAGCTTTCACTCTTCAGGAGAAGCTTCAATTCACTATAAAATGATTCTTTTGTTTGGGTACAATAGTCGATATAAATTTGGAACTGCAACTTCTTGTTGGAAGTCATGCTTTTAGATGCTTAAATTTATTTAAAAGTATTGCAAGTGCAAAGGAAGCAAAAGTTCAGTCTAATAATCAATAGATTCTGCTTTAAGGGAATAAAATTACAGCTTTTTAAAAACAACTTAAAAAAAATTACAGACTCTGGGTTGTGCAACCCAGGAAGTCCATGTGCTGATGTATTAGGATAAAGAAGATAACATATTTTCAACAGTAGAATTGCTGATACTGTGTATAGTCCTGGTAAGAAATAGGTTTGTATGAACACCTTCATTTGCACCTTCAATATTCTTCTGCTGATGTTTTTCTCTACATAAATCATAACCACATTTGTGGGACGACCTTTTCAGCACCTGCCTTTTCATCTGGTCTGCTCACATTTCAAAAGAACAGTGGCTTTCATCTCCTGCAGTCCATATCTAGAGCTGATCAAGCATATTATGGAGCTGCAGAAAGAAATTACAAATAATACAAACTTGAGAACCAGCTTTATACTGGTGTGATCTATTTAGTATTCACAGTCAGAGTGATAGGATCAGTTATTCTCAGATTCTGCAAATCAAAAGTGCCATGACTTTTGTGTTACACTTAACAAATATTATTACATTGAACACATACTCCAAAAATACACTTAGATATCACGGGAAGCTAAATTCCTCTCTCTAGCAGGTAATGTGTAGTTTTTGCTGGTGCTCTCTGTTCATTTGGGACAGCTGCCTCCACACCATGAATATGCACAGCATGAATCTGCCACTGAGAATCATTTTGAGAAATTTTAGTTTGCAGTAAACATTCAGTAGTTCACTGCTGAGTTAAAGGATTGGTGAGTTTTGAGAAAGCTCAGGACCAGAGAGAGTAAAGCAGCCCCTGTTCATTTTCAGGGTGGCTTGTGAGACACAGGGCACAGGAGGGAATGGAGGTGTGCTCCTTGTCTTTTAGGGCACTCACTTCGCTCCATTTGGATCCATTATTGCAACACCAAAATGAGTTTCTACAACACTCTGAGCAGACACAAGACTCAGTGGTCTGTGACTCTTTCAAAAGTCAGTTTTTTCAGCTATAATTATCTGAATAAAGCTTGTCACTTTACTTTTCATGTCAACTTTTTGTAAGTGGTGGAAGAGCAAAGTGTACTGAATGAGCGATTCATTTACTGTCATGTCCATCAGTGGCAGACTCATGAAAAGAACATGTGAATCCTGGCTCAGAATGTGCTCCCTCCCACTGGCAGATGACACTGCCTCCCCCAGTGACAGTCCTGTCACGGAGCAGTGGCTTTAGACCATTTCTCATGAACCCTTATACACACTCCCAGCAAGATCTTACATTTCTTCTTAACCCTGCTGTTACAATGCAAATACAGGAAATCCTCTTCTTGCAGTCTCCTCGTATGAAACTGAAATGGCATCAGCTGTTTGCCAGAGGAATGACTAAGACAAAAGCAAACCCTCATGTGCACTGCTCTTTGCTCAGGGAACCATTTGATAGGAATGCTTGTTTCCTTTAAATGCTGTTCTGATGAGGTTCAGTAGATTAAAGAATCTTTACTGGCAGAGCCAGGGCAGCTTTTCACAGCATCATAAATCACTGATGTAAAGAAACCAAAACACAACTCCTTCCTTTACAGGTGAGATGAACCTTGAAGAGTATTTTGCAAGAACTGGCTATAAAGGCTCCACTGAAAAACAAGATTTGGAAACCTTAACCGATATATTCCAGCATCACATCCGTGCTGTTCCCTTCGAAAACCTCAGCATCCACTGCGGGGAGAAAATTACTTTGGAGCTGGAGCACGTTTACAACAAGATTGTGCGGAGGAAGCGGGGTGGCTGGTGCATGGAAAACAACCAGCTGCTGGGCTGGGTGCTGAAGGGCCTGGGGTATGAGACCAACTTCCTGGGAGCGTACGTGTTCAACCCCCACCAGAACGCCTACGCCACCCTCATGACCCACCTCGTGGTAAAGGTCGTCGTCGATGGCAAAGCCTACATCGTTGATGGAGGATTTGGGGTGTCCTACCAGATGTGGCAGCCCATGGAGCTTGTGTCAGGGAAAGACCAGCCCCAGGCTCCCGGCGTGTTCCGCTTCACGGAGAAAAACGGTGTCTGGTACCTGGAGAAAATGAGACGGAAACAGTACATCCCCAACCAGAGCTTCTCCAACTCTGATCTGCTGGAGAAAAAGGAGTGCCGCAAAGTTTACATGTTCAGCCTTGAGCCACGGACAGTGGAAGATTTCCGTTTCCAGTGCACATACCTCCAGACCTCTCCAGATTCCCTCTTCACAAAGAAGTCCATCTGCACCCTCCAGACCACCGATGGATTCCGAGCGCTGATTGGGTGGACGCTCACTGAGACCACGTACAACTACAAGGAAAACATGGATCTGGTGGAATTTGTAACTCTTGAAGATGAAGAGGTGGAAAAAACCCTCAAAGAGAAATTTAACATCACCCTAGAGAGAAAACTTGTCCCCATAAATGTTAAAGGGTCTTACACAATCTAGATGGTCAGGAAAACCTACAGTAACGCTATGTGGGTACAGCAGCTTCCACTGTCTGTGTAATCCCTGCTGCAAGGTTATGGGATTCTTTTGCAGGTGACTGAAGGATATATACATTAGTATGAGATTAATGTGAATTTCACTTTGGGAAGAATCAGGAATTTAAGACTCTTGAGCCAGTTAGGTAAAATTATTTGATGGAAGATGACTGCCGTTCAATTTTTGGCACATATGTAGGATTTGATTTGAATCTGGTTATAAGCTTGGGTAAGAAATATGTCTGGGGAATTTTGGACTGCCTGTAGCACATGAGTA